TGTATGTGTGTGTGTATGTGTGTGTGTGTGTGTGTGTGCTTCCCAATATCATTAAATAGATACAACAAAATAACGATAGAAAGGAAAATGGTACAGTTCGGAAAAGATAAATTTCACTAACTCCACATTTTAGCTCATTTCACTCCCTTTTGCCCATCTCTTCCCCTATCCACTCATCTATCTATCCATCACCCATCTTCTACCTATCTGTTCATCCATTTACCTATCCTTCTACCTATAAAAGTCATAATGAAAAATGCTATCAACTGAATTCTCATACTACTAATATTCAGTGTATTAATAACAACGAAAGTGTATATGTGATAATATAACTTAGAAAAGAATATGATAAAGCTGAAGATTGAGGATTTCGATCGCAAAGATGATAGCAGGTCAAGAAAGTGTAAAAGAAAATGTACAATACCAAAAAAATAGTAGAGAAATTTTCATCCAAAAATTTATTTCCTAAACAGCAAAATCATTTGTTAAAAGTCAATCTTTGATGTAACTTTTAAATCTGATAACTAAGCAAAAAAAATAGATAAATGGAAAATTACATTAAATGCAATGAAATAAGTACTAAAATTTTGTTTTTGCTAAGAAAATTTCTCCGCTAATGATAATTTTTACGATGAAAATTTTTCTAATAAATTATAATGTATGGGATATTACCGACTGGAAAATCTAGAAAATTTCTAGATATTGTCTTAATTAGCTAATCGACAACTTTTTATCCTATAATTTTCAATTATGTTTCACGCAAATTATATATCCAAAAAAAAATTGAAATTTTTAAACATTTAAGGGAATTTTATTGCAATAACTCTGTGAATTATTTACTGGAAAAATTACCTTTATCTTCCTTCTTCTATATTACTTCATCAGAGAAAATAAAAAAGAATTGTGGAAACAAAAAATATGCACTAGAAATAAGGAATCCCGGATAGAAAACAATGTATGATTAATAAAAGTAAAATGTGCATTTGGAAATGTAAAGGCATATTCCAATTCTGAGGGCATTTACAATCTAATCAATATTTTTGCTAGTATTGCTTTCATTGTTATTTCGGAAATTCTTATTCGGATTTTTAATGCTGCATTTGATCGGTCAGAATGGTTTGAAAAGTGTATACATTTCTGTATTACGTTCTGCATTATAAATTACTGAGTCAATATGAACCAATTTCAGACTTGGTTTTATCTTTATCAATTTCTCCAGAATCCTTCATTCTTATCACTAATAGACAATGATTTTTATCGACAGCTGAGTAACGCAAGGAAATTTTTTCTTACTCTACAGATATATCTTCCTTATTATAAAGATATGCTATTTACCTGATATTCATGTAAATAGCATATCTTTATAATCAACCAGAGGGTAAAAAACAGAGATGTTAATTAGTTTTTCGTGCTAACGAATGAAAGACGTTTCTGTAATTCAGATGTCATTTACACATTTACGACTCGATATTTCTCGTTTTCAGACTCTTTGATTATTCGCAAATATATCACCTCTTTTCATTCAACTATAACTACAATGCTTTAATGCTGGTACGAATGATGAAAACTGGATGCCACAATAAATTTTGTTAAAAAAAACTCTTTCAACAATTTAGTTCATACAGCACAAAGTGCATTTGCAAACATAAGGGTAAATGTGTGAGAAAAAAAAAAGTGAAACGTATAGACAGCACTCCACGCTCAGCTATTTGAATAGTAATCGAAATTCGTGAATCACAAGAAAAATATCGAAATACTTTTTCTGATGGATAATCAGTACTTATGATATGTTTTCTGTTTTTTCCTATTTTCCACCAAGAATCCATGCTAAACAATTGCTAACATCCCATGGAACCTCGGAACTCCGTGTCCCACCTACGCACCAATAACAGCACATCGATCAATGACCTGCTCAATGGTCCATACGTGTTCAGCAAACCATGTGTGGACCCACAATTACGTTACATACTGCTATGACATAGTTAACATGAAATTTTTGATCCCATCTGTCCATTTTTAACTCATTGGAAATGAAATCAATTAGTCTGATTGTTATGGCTTGCGAAGAGGGAGCACATTGTCATTGGCTTAAAATAAAACTTAATTTGAAGGACAAAAAAAAAAAAAAACAAGTACAATACATAATTGAGCTGTAACAAAGAAAATTCACTATTTACAGAAAATTCGCAATAAAATGAGAAATTGAATGAGCAAAATGAAATATAGCGTTTTGAATTAATCAAAACTTAACAAAAATTAGGCACTAAACAAATATTATATGTAGTCTAGCGATTTAAAAAAGTACGTTGTACGAAAAAATGCAGCTTTAAAAATATAAACTGCAAAATAAAGAATTGAAAAAGAACGAATTAACAAATTGTATTTTCTTTATATACCATGTAGTGGTAGCAAATATTACAATGGTTGATCGAAGATCGAGGAAAATTCATTAGGGAAAAATTTAAATTTGATAAAATAGTTGATCGAAGATCAAAAAAAGTGCATCAAGGGAAAATTTAAATTAATGAACATGAATTGTAAAATGAAAATTAGATGAATTAACAAAAGTTTATTGTATCGAATTTACTGAGAATGTTTGGCCATATATTTTATATGTATCATGTATGAATAATATTAAACAATAACTTTTAAATGGGCGATTGAAAAAAAAAGAAACGCCTTTTCATAAGGCTGTATCATATTTTGTTAACATCATTCCAATCAATCAATCAATCATTCGAGAGTGCATCAGAGAAGCAAATAACAGATGAAATAATTTGGCAGACAAATGAAAGAATCACATCAACAATTTGGAACAGAAAAAAGAAACCCGCAAAAAACAAAATGGAAAGATGATGTTACGTATTACAAAATATATGTCATGTGAAAAACGTAAGTGTAAATTGGAAGAAAAAAAAGGAAAAAAGATGGATTACATGGATGTTTCAATTGGTAATGTTTTGCCGGTTGAATTACTACGTTGATAGTGCAGTGATGGAGTAATGAGATCAACAAGCGATTGGCTTGATTGAGGATTTCGGATATACGTGTAATCTGGTGGATTTGGTGGTGGTACAGAAGGACGAATTTTAGTCCGATAGGAGGATGAGTTACTGTAAGGACTGTCTTTCACTAATTCTGTTGTCGTTTCATAGAGTGAACGTCGTGGTGGCGATGAAATAATAGGAATTTCAGGGACATGAAGCTGTTCATTCATTGAGATTGCAATACGTGGCGGTGTTGACGGTGGCGGTGGTGCGGCGCGTATTGGCCTCAACAGTGTTTCACAGTTTATTTCATCTGATGTAACAGATGAAGTTCCATGATCTTAAAATTTTAAATAAATAAAAAATTACAGAAAATAGAATATAGTTTTAATAAAGTACTTGATCATTTCTCTAAAATGATTAGTAAATTCACTAAAAAATATCATTTTTATTCTTTATTTGTTAATGATTTGTTAAATCTTAAAATGGATAATTAGAAACTTAACTTACTCTCAAACAATTTTGGATCAAATAATGGTGGTGGTGGAAGATCCACTAATTTACTATAAGTAGATCGTGGACGTGAATCAAAAGACTTGGATACCAGACGTGACGTATCTTCTCCCATCGATGATTTTGGTGTTATTTGTTCTGTTTGATTAAGTAGTGGTTTAACCTGAAATTTTTTGAATTAATGCACTTTCTATGAAATTAAAAAAAATGTAAATGTGAACGGATGTTAATCACACGATAACTTATCATTTATTAACAATACTAATTATCTTAATGAAATCAAACAATTAATGGATGTTGCTTAATTAATTACATCATAGCTTAATATCTTATTTATCACATTTCAAATATTTTAACTGTGAATATATTCATTTTCATTACAAAAACTAAAAGTTTATAAATTAAATTGGAACGCTTAGATATTATTTTTCGAAAAATGAATTTTAAATGAGGAGTTTATAGCAAACTTTATGACAAAATAAGCAATCCAAATAATCTAAAAGTTAAAAATGAAGGAAAAAATTTATACCGATTGTTGGATAGTTCGATCAGAAATGATTGAAGATTGAGCACTACTAGAATCATTCCACGACGATCGTTCTGTAAGTGTTGATTCATTACAGTCTTGACACGTTGAACATGTGACAGTATCCGTATTTGTATTGCACATTGATGCATCTGTACTGTGCCAATCGATAACTGGTCGATCATTACTACTACCTGCACGGCTATTAATTGATCCATAAGCATTAAATACACTCAATGATACCTCACCATATGGATTTGGCCTTTGTGATACCAAATTTCTGAAATTATTTAATAGAAAGAGAAGTATTGCACATTAAAAACATATTTCAATTTGTTATCAAATTTCTTTCAGATTTAAATTTAATGTGATTAGTGACTGGGACGAATAAATATCAAAAATTTAAATGACAATATTAATTTAAGTAAACTAAAGAGAAAAAGAATTTTTATAAATAATTTTTTCAAAAAAGTTGTAAATAAATGTTACCTGGAAAATGATGATGGCATATGATATGCAAAACTTTCACTACCATTTCCGGAATATGATGAATCAACAGTAGAATTTATTCTGCTTAATTCTACACCAGATGAACGACATTTGATATTTTGATCAATGAATGAAGTAACAGAATTACTTCCTGAATACATTTCGGTTGATAAGTCAGCTTTCGTTAGTTTTGACCATGAATTATTATCTTTTCCATGAACTAAATTACGGTGCGCATTCATGATTGCATCATCCGTTTGCAAATCTATTCCATTTAATGCTCCATTTATTGCCATCTATAAAATAGGCAATTAAAAATATTAAAGTGTATTTAAGTGTAAAATTTAGGTATTATTTTAATATATAGACATTAAAAGAAGGAAAGGAAAATTAAATTTGATGAAATATCATACACTGGTAATAATTCGGTTGTTATTATCATTTTTTCGTAATTCATTCGCCAATTTGCTAAGTCTTAATGAAGCACGTATACATTCTTTCCGGCTTACTTCTTCTTCTTTCCGCTTTCTTGATTTTCTATACCAACAAACAGCTAGCAATAAAATGATGACTAAAAGTATGCTTAATGCACTTATAGCAATGATTATACCACCTCTCCAAAGTGTTGGTTCATCATATGATAACACTCCTGTAATTAATTAATTGATTATGATTATTTGCAATTACTACATACCTTTATAATTAAATATGACTAGTATTTTCCAATTCATCGTGGTTATTTAATTATAATTACTGCCTATCTTTTTAAAATTGCTAAACAAGGAGCAATTTTTTTAGAATCTTCAAAAGCTATGGTAAATATATTTTCCTTCAAATCCAAATTTCGTTCTCCAATCGCTTATCTCGATTTCAATTTTATGAATGATTTTATTCAATTGCAAAAATGTTGTGCTTCTAATTTTCCATTTTGCGATATTAGTACTATTTAATGTGACTAAAAATTTGAAAGTTATTGAATTTGAATTAATAATCCTATTAAAATTGTTAAAAAACATCAGTCACATTATTTTTCTACAACTATGACTAGTTTAATTAAAGTTAATAATTGACATTCCTTGTTTAATAATAATTCCTTACCTTTTTCACACACGAATGATAGCAAACTATTGCAATTTCGAGTACCAATATTACCGGAACGCGTACTTAGCCAACCACACTGTGTTAATGGGACTGTTACACTTGAGATCCATACTTGCTTATCATATGCATCCTGTAAAATAATATTTGATATAGGAAATTAAAATGACATTTGAATAGTACACATTATCAATCCTATTTTTCTCACCAATTGAAATTGCAATTGAAATATAAGATAAAAAATTATTTTTACTTTTAGATAAGCAAATCATAAAATGATCTTAAAATAGTGACTTATCAAAAATTTCCCAAATAATTTTCACCAACTCATTTTCTTCTTTTAATTTTAAGTATAAGCATAGCTATTAGTAA